GGCAGGGGCGCTGGGGCGGCCGCCCCCTCTGCTGCCCGCAGTGCGCCTCTTCTTTCGACTGGGGCTGCGGGTCGGGGTTCCAGGGCTGCTGGGGGGCTTCTGTGGGGCAGTGTTGCGGCCGGCAGCCGAGGGGCTCTGAGGGGCCTGTCCAGGGGGCCCAGGGGCCGCGCCCTGGGGAGCTGGCCCCTGCAGAAGCCTCTGCATCCGGTCTGCGGGCGCCGCCGACCCTGGGAGGCACGGGCTCTGGCCGGAGCCGGGGCGCAGCCTGGCTGCTGACTGTGGGGACGTGCTGGACGTCTGCTGACCGGCCCCCGGGGCCGGGGCGGGCTCGGGCCAGGACCTGCTGACTGGCTGCCTGGGGGCCACCCTGTCCTCCGCCAAGAGGCCGGGCCAGCCCCGCCCCCAGGGAGCCAGCTGCCCCTTGCGGGGGGGCGGGGGCCCGGGAGGGCTGCTCCCACTGCTGTCCCCTTGCTCAATGTCACTGGACGAGGGCTCGTCCCCGGAGGCCAGACTGGCCTGCAGAAGGTCGCATTCTTCAGCTGCGGCCGAGAACTCTGCCCAGTCTTGGTCACTCAGCTGGATGCTGTACTGGAAGTTTTCCATTTCCGCTGGCCGGGGCACCAGGGGGCCGCACTTGAGGCCAAGCAAGGTCTTTGGAGGCCTCGGCCTAGGCCAGTGCGCACGGCCGCCTGCCCGGCTGCCCCCCAGGCCGGCCCCCAGCCCCCCGGCAGGGGCCTCCGCACTTCAGGGCCATCCTGAAGGACAGCAGCGCTGGGGCCCGCTTGCTGCCAGGCGGAACCCCGGGGCCTGGAGGCCGGCCCAGCCCAGGAGCGCCCGGCTGGGGGCCCAGGCACGCGGGTGGCCGGCAGCCGGGCCCTTTGGCCGGCGGGCGGGAGGGGGCTGGACCGGCAGTGGCTGGGGCGTGTCAGGTGAAGCGGGGCTCCTGCTGGCCCCTCGGGCCACACTCGGGGTCTGTGCCCCCACCCAGGCCCGCCGGCTGCCCCAAGCCCCCCTCTGGCCCCTTGGCTGTGGAGGTGGCCTGCGGCGTTCAGGTCAGCACCCTGGCCGGGCTGGGGGCCACGCTGACCAGGGCTGGGGCCTCCAGGCCCTCCGAGAGCCACCTCCTCCTAGTCCGGGCGTCCCGTTGGGGTCACTGGCCCCAGGGCCCCTTGGGCTGGGGTGGGCGTACCTGGAGCCCTGAGGCGGCTGGACAGCGGAGCCGGGCGTCCGGGCAGCCTGTCCCAGGGCCTCCGGCAGGCTGCGCGCAGCCCCACCCCCGCTGCCCAAAATACCGGCGCCAGGTCACATGTGCCTGCCAGCTCGGAGCCCGCCGCAAATAGATGGCCTCTGCGGCACCCCAGCCCGGCAGCGTCCTCCAGGCCAGGCTTGGCCCCACTCCCTGCCGGGCCGCCCGGCCTCCCTGCCCAAGCCAGGCCCGTTCCTCTTAAAGTGGCCAGTGCTGCAGGGCCCCAGCTGCTTGAGAGGGGCAGGGGCTCGCGGAGAAGCAGCCTGGGGAGCGGCTGGATCCAGAATGTTCCTAGAGGCCCTGGGAAGTGGCTGTGGCCAGTGCTGTGGGCAGCCCTCTGCTGCGCCCCTGGGCTCGGGGCCGCCCGCCCCGGGCTGGACCGCCCCGGGCTGGGCCTCAGGAAAGGCCCCCGGTGCCGGGCTGGGCGTTCCCTTGACCCCCAAGTGGTGACCCCACCTGCCCACGGCTTTTGGGGGC